CAACAGTAACAAAGAGTTTATAAAATGTAACTAAAGCTTTCATTAGGGGCATTCTGCAAGGACCCAAGTGTATACTTATTAGACTTACTGACTTATATGAAGTTGGTTTATTCTAGTCCCAGTGAGGAACACAAGTGTAAAAAGGAGATTAGAGATTGTCCAGAACTACCTGCTTCATGTACAGCGAGCTGGGAAGACAGGAGATGAGCTCAAGATGGGAAGGAGCAGACAGTCCCACAGATGGTTTGCCTGACATGTCAACTGGCCCTGAGCGTGGTTTTACCCTGACCTTGTAAGTGCTTAACCCAACTCAACTTACTTCTTCAGGGGTCCTTGTTCAAAGGAGACAGATACCTTTCTTCCTCAAGATCAGGCAGAAGCTCTTCAGACATATCATCTCATTGGGTGTTTTGGAAAACACTAGCCAGCAGCCTGCTGCAGGCCAGAGCCACATACATCAGATGACACAAGCTCCCTGAGCATGGGTCAGAACAGGTGTTCGGAAAATGATTCTTAGAAAAATGTATGTGAAGAAACAAGTACTCAGTCACAGCTGAGTAGTGAACGATAAGACAGGGAACTGGATCCCACAGCCATTGCAAACTCAGCAAAGCTTTGGGAAACATCTCCCATTAGTGGGATTCGGGAATCATAGAGATGCATAGGAATTGCACCCATCTCCTCCTTCAGCAGGTCGGGAAACTAGCAGGGAGATTAGGAAGAGGCACTAGAGAATCCTTGTCGATGTCAAGGCTCTGTGTTGCTAAGGGAACCATTGACATGAGAAAAAAAAAAGGATTCATACAAGTTCCTAAACACATACACGAGTGTGCACACACACACACACGCGCACAAAGATAAATTTGAAGAAAGCCTTTATGTATTTACAACATTAACTCTGTTTTCACATTGCTACTATTAGGAATAATTACCATAGTGAATATGTGGGAAATAAAGAAGTAAAGCTTAAGCCCATTGATTCTTAAAGTCGCTGTGCTTAATATTTTGTGGATGAAGTTACTTTCATTTCAGAAAGGGCTAGCATGTTCTGAAGCATGGGATGTATGTTCAGACAAAGGACACAGGGATTGCCCAGCATCTGAAGCACCTGTTGCCTTCAGACTTATCAATAAGTGACTGAGGGGTGGCCCATCCCTAGACCCTGGCAGTGCTTCTGGTTTCTGTGAAGCGGCATTTGCTCTTTGTCTGATTTGCAGACAGTGGGTTAACATACTCAAGAAAGGAGGATGCGGCACTGACAAGGATTTAAGTGAATTTGGGAATCATCTTTAGGTATGAAATAATGCACCAGAAGAAAAGCAAGGCTGAGAAGGCGAGGGCGAATGTGTGTTGACTATTGTGTTAGACCAAGTCTGTTTCTCTTCATCAAAATCAGTCCTTTTCCCCGACCTTGCTTCATAGTCACATCAGTTTATCACCCAGTAAATATTAACTGTAAACACATGAGATCATTTCAGTGGTTTGACAGTTGTGATGTGGGAGTCAGACTGTGAGTGTTCGTTGCCATTTTACTGTTATTTCCTGGTGGATTGTTAGGGAAATTTGACTTGGATTTTTTTTTTTTTTTTTTTTTGCTGTGACTGCCACATTTTGCCTGGAAGCCATCTATGCTGCTGATAGCGAGTCCCTTTTGAGTGCTGTTTTGATACAGTAAGCATCACCACACCTCAGGATCTTGATAGCATTACTGCGGGAAGCAGAAAGCAGCTTTGTGCTAGTAATTACCTAACATTGTCAGAAGCTGACTGCAGGCCTCTTTCTAGTGATAACAGAATAACCACATAATGTAGCTTTAGAGCACATGATTAATAGAAAATAATTACACATCCTACAAAGGGATGCAATATTTCTTATAAATTGACTGAAATGGTTTCCTGTAGATTAAAGGACTCTTCATTATTTTATCAGTCCTCCGAGGTCCCGTCACTTGCCTATGTTAGCATTTCGGTTGACGGTAAGAGCCGAGTAGGGTGAAGGGTACCAGATGGCAGACCTCGTACCTGAGATCTTGAGTGCAGTCAGATGACGTGATGTTTCCTCACCTGTCAAGATTTAGATGGCAGCCTGGTATGGGTCTCCCTCCTTCTCCCTCCCTTCGCCCTTCTCTTTCCCTTTATTAATAACATTTGAGAGGTGTCTTTTAGATGATCCACCTGTGACTTTGTATAAGAATGCCATGATTAGTATGTGGATTTTAAGACAGCACAGTATTTACTGATGGCATTGTTTGCCACCATTAACTCACCCGTCGTTCGTGATCACATATGTTTGGGGCAGCGAGGCTGATTTTCTTCTTCGGAAGGAAATGTTGCGTGGTGTTGAATCTTGAGGCTGGACTTTAGAACACTGCTATATTCCGAGGAGCGTTTTCATCCCAATTCAGGGGCTGCAGATGCTTTAGTTGGGATTCATGTTGCTCGGGCGCTCCTGCCGAGCGAGGGTGGTGGGGATGAGAGGGACGCTTCCGTTTGCAGACTCCTGACATACTCTACCGCTGCAGTGCACAGCTGTAAATCTGCCTCCTAGATTTTTGTCCCACTCTGCTTTATCTTTTCTCTTAATTTCACACCGGAGTACTATATGGGATTATTTATAAATGTAAAGTAATATCCTGATTTTTATTGTTACCATTTTCTGAATGAGGTCTGATATTTTAGAGCATTTCCATGAGGTGTGTATTTCATACATTTTTTGGTTGTTTTAAATTAAGTGAAGCTTTTAGGATTACTACAGTGTGTCACTTTCCTTTGTCTGTGGAATGTTATATGTAAGGGATCCGTTTACTGCTGAGGATGCCCCTCTCTGTGTCTGCTACTGTGCTATATGGTTAATTACCGCTATTGCTCTACCAGAAAGCACCAGACTTTCTCGAGGAAAGTCTCTTGTCTGTCAATGAGATTTGAGGGTTTATGCTCTTCTTAGGAATAATGATAGGTCCTTAGATGACAGTACAGATTATAACCAGAGTCGAATATTATAAAGTTCTACAGACTTTCTGGCTTGTATTTTAAATCTTACCATCATCTCCCAGGCTGAACACCATTCCTTGGCAGCAGGTTTGGGTCAGGGGTCTGCCCTCCCACTGCTTGTTTTCTGTGTCTCCTATTGGCAGGCTAGACCCTTTGCTCTTCTGATGTAATCAGTGTGGAAAAAAAAAAATCTAAGGCTGGTATTAGGTAAGAGCTTTCACACTCAGACTTACCCTATTAGTCCATTTTGATATCTTACAATGCAGATCTTTGAGCTGTAGAAGCTTACATATGTTTGTTTTGTTAAGCATTAGGCGCCAATTTATGCATTGCCTTAAAAACTGAATAAGGGTGGTTTTATTAGGTGCCTGCTAGGGTACACACAATGATTGCTAGCCTAGCCTTTCAGTAAGTTGATATTTCCTGTTGATAAATGTCCCTTGTATAGATTACATGCGTCATCATTGAGTTCTGGACACAGTGTTCTCATTGCTCAGACACTTTTGTCCACTGAAGTCACACTGTCAGTGAACTTTTAAACTTGACACCTTTAGTCCACTGCTTCAAGAGCAAGTGCTGTGTCCTTATTAGAACAAGAAATACAGGGTTAGCCTGTTTGCCCCCTCTCCCTCCCCCTTGTTGTTCCAATAAGCCTAATTCTGCTATTGCCCACCACTTTAAAAGAACCCATAGATTTTACCCTTTAATTTATAGGTAGACTGTCTGTCAATACATACATGCTAATGCTGCTACATTTGTATTGAAGAATAGCATCATTTTCCTTGTGATGGTCAATAGCATACAAATCAATATGAATGTTAAGCCTGCATGCCTATCATCCCCCCCCCTACATATAACTCAATGTGCATATGCACATTTATCTATGACTCAGATGTAGGAAAATCAGAACCTATTGAATTACTTTGGGGATTGATTTTAAAAATTTATCTTATATGAAAAATTAAATTTGGGCCTTAATGCTTGTGCAGGGTATTGCTTTTGGAAGATATTATTCTTGAAACTTGTAATTCATTTTACTTGTTTGTATCTCACTAAACGTAAATAAATTTGAGATAAAAATACATTAGTCAATCTGGCAGACATGAGGCCGGTTAAGGAGGGTTCACAATGCCTAAAGCAACTGCATATCTATCAATGGGGAATAAAGACGAGGAGGACTAGGTTTGTTTATCTCACATTGTAAAGTGCAGAACACCTCATCAGTCACTCTGTTCACGGATTAATATTTTGCCTTTGAAACTAGAGAGACTTTTGTTTCCTATTGATCTTCCATTCTTCGAGCAAACCTAGCATCACCTTTATGCTCCACCTGAGCTTAGGCATTCCAGAATCAAGAGAAACAGTGAAAGCGTTGGGATATTACTTTCAAGAAATCCACTCGTGGATTTTTTTTGTATTGGTATTTGTGAACTTTTGATTTTAGTATTTTTCTCATTTTCCACTTTTATGAGCTTAGAATGTATTAGTTTTTCTTAAGAAGGGCTCCATCTCTTGATTCTAAGCCATCTCTGACCCCCCCCCCCCCAGCAAGTGATTTTCATCCTTGCTAGATAATAAGCTTCTAGAAGGTACATTTAGCTCCTCCAGATTCCTGGCTTTAGCCTTACAGCGAGGAGCTGGCTTTCAGGGCAGGCAGGCAGCCCTGTATGGAGAGACTAGGAGCCCCAGAAGCTAACTCCTGTCCTTATGGGAGCCCACTGCTTCTGCGTTCTGCCAGAATAATGAGCAAGTTGTATGATGTACAGTAGTTGAAATACTTACCAGTAGCATGGCTGTGTGTGTGTGTGTGTGTGTGTGTGTGTGTGTGTGTGTGTGTGTTGGGTTTTTGCCCCCTCCCTTTGCTCAGAAACAAAAAAAGATGAAAATGTTTCCATCTGCAGCTCCAGCACTTGTAACTTTATAAAAAGGAACATTTCTGAGAAGTTGCATACAAACAACATTGTGCTTACACCAACCTAAAGGTTAATACTGTATATTGTTTTCAATTAGGAATACAATAGATATGGCTGGTGGGTAGGAGAAATGAAGGGAGCCATTGGCTTGGTGCCTAAAGCCTACGTAATGGAGATGTATGATATTTGAGAGTCTGGGTAAGTACATTTTAATCCAATATTCTGTAATAGCTCTTATGTTCTCTTGGTCTCTTTCTTCTGAGGCTTTGCCTTTTCAAGTCTCTAGTTTTCTGATAACATAAGTATGGCACCCCAAATCTATTTTTGTTTTTGTTTTGCTTCATCTTTAATTTTTAAAAATAACTAGAAAATTTACTTTGGAATTGAAGAGACCGTCCCTTTGATGACAACCAGCTGTGTTCTTAAACCTCCTCCCCTCTAGTGAAATGCCACTTTTATGGCCTTTCTGTGGAAATGAACTGAGAAATGCTGAGAAAGTGTCCATTTTTATTTGGCCAAAAATGTTTTGTTTTGTTTTGTTTTTCTAAGCAGGAGAAATAAATCAACCTTTCTACTGAAGGAAAAAAATTAAGTAAAATGCAACTTTTCCTTTTTTGCCCACAGGGAAGTCTGCTGTCTGTCTGCAAGTGCTCTGGATTTGGAAACCCCTGAGTGCCTGAGTGATGGCTCAGAGCTGCCTTTGTTTGGTTGAATATTCCTGTCTCAGCTGCTGTTCTGTATAGTCACTCATTAAAATACCCCGGATGTCGGATTAAGCCAGCAGTTATTCATTACATTAGACTCAAGCAGTAGAGATAAGACCTGTTGCTGTTTTGCAAATGATTTGCCCATTAGGTTTGTGTGAGAAAATACATTGTGATTGTATGTCACTCTTAATCACCGATGCTGCCCATGAGGGTTTCTATTTCTTAGTCATTGGGCATCATTTGTTTTGAGAATGTTGCATATAATTTCATAGACTTTGTAAGCTTTGAGTCAATACTAAAGACTTCTTTAAAGCTGTGTAGGTGACTTAACTTCGTTTTTATTCCCCCCCATAGGATATAATAGCATGTGTTCATTTTTTATAAAAAGTTGTGCAAATTGACATGTTTACCTGCTGTTAAGTAAGAAGGGGAGAGGTTGGTGATAGCATTACAGGGAAAGGGAATAGAGCAGTGTCAGTACCCTGTCACTTGGTACACAAGTGTAAACCAGAGAGCTAGGTTTGGGCAGAGTACTTCAATGTCTTAATTTGATGATGGGCTTGCCAATGTTTTCTACTATAATTTTATTTAAATTGAACAAAACCCAAGATTCATAAGAAAGCCCATTTCACCACTAATACAATGGTATGGCCAGCTTCAGTGTGTTTTCACTCTTACACTCTTAGCTTACCACCTCATCATTGCTACGCTAGCTTGCACACCCTGCTGTTAGACAGCAGTCCCAGGCCAGCCTCCTGTGTGCCTCTCCCGACCAAACAGAAAAGAAAGACCAAGAATGGCAACAGTTACCAATCGGTCCCCTCTCATAGACAGTTGAAATCACAGTATTTTTAACTGTCTATGGAGATGCCAGTATAGCCTTACCCTGTATCAAATGCACTAGTGATTGGATATTTCGCAGTAGATATAATCTACTGAATCGTTTTCTACTCAACTTTTCAGGTAGGAATGCAAATGAGCTGATATTATTTTTAAAGCTCCACTATTTATGTACAATTATAATTACAAGGGTTTTTTATCTTACTGTTGCTATTCTATAAATGTGATCACTCAGTTTCAAAAGTAAAAGAAAAAAAGCTCAACATAGTCCAAGTTTTCAGAAATCACATTTGTACAATTACCCTTTTCCTATTAGAGCATCATGTAAATAGGTTAAAATAGTCTTGGCAGAAGCTAGACAGGTGGAACTCAGTGGAATGACTTTCAGAGCCAGTGTGGTTGAAAAGCAAACGCCTAGCCTGCCTGTGGTTACAGGTTTTGTGCCTTGAACGTAAGTGGCCAGCAGATGGCAGCAGCTTGTTGTTCGCACGGGGAACCACTTGGAGCCCCTCCCCCACTCGAGCAGCCTGAGAAACCGGTAGAGTGCTGCCTCTTTTCCCGTTAATCCAGGAGAGGGAGTCCTTTGCCAACTGATGGCCAGCATCCCCAGTATAGAAGCATGGCACTGCTCTGTCCAGACCGCCTCTGGCCTTTGTTCTTTCTTTATCTTGAATATACATGGGAGCTAGAAGGTTGGAACTGAAGGCCTCCAAAATTGGGAGAGACTAGAAAAATTACTGCTCCTTGCAATTGGTGGGTGCTTTCTGTTCACTTGAACTCATCTTTGTGCTGTGAGGAAGTTTCTCTCCACCCTTGACAGTACATCACATTCTCTTCAAGATCGTGATAACATCATTAATGTGAATTTAAACAACGCAGCTTGTTAGAAAATATGCTAATTGTTATGTTCTCATTATGTTTGCTTAGCTTTTATTTGTTTTTCTATGAACAGTTAGAGAGCTAATTTTTTGAAAGGTGATTGTAAGTCATATTTTATATAGCATTTTGCTTGATCGTTTGCTCTGTACTGAATTCGTACTCTGTTGCCATTAGATCTTACAATAATGTTCCACTCTGCAAATTTTTAAGGTTCAAATAAAGTTTAATTGTTTGCAAACTGTTATGATGCTAATAATTCAACAGCCTGCTGTGTTACTAATGAAATTACTTTGTTATGATTAATTTGGAAAATAGTGTGTTGATTGTAGTAATTAAGCACAACAAGGTGAACTAAATGACTATAATGCCATCTGGCCTCCAAACTGAATGAAGAAATGAAATAGGGCTGTCATCTGAATTTATTCAAAGAAGTAAGCATCATACAAATGACTTTCATTGCTTGGTTTTACCACTTTGTGGCATATCACATGTTTTTTTTGTGTTTTGTTTTGTTTTATGAAAAATAGTATTGGCTGGTCCAGCAGTTGTTCTGAATACTTGGTTTTAAACTGATTATTTTAATCATAACTTAATTACAGATAATTACATACAGTACATAGGATCATGGGGAAAAATCGCTTTTCAAGCATCTGTAGGTAAAGTAGATACATGTGGGTCTTTTTATTTTCTGTCAGTGTGTGAACACTTTGGATCTAGCGCTTCACAAGTAGTACAGTTGTTGAGGTGCTCGTAGGTAGTAGGCAAGGCTCTACTGTAGCCTCTCTCCTGATTTCCATCTCACGGATTCTGATACCATCTAGGGTCATGATTAGAAAGAGAACTGTGTTACACACGAGAGATTTAGATTCAGGGTTCGGTCACAGGACAGAAACTGACCTGAATATACATGTAGTTTTGAAAGCTTGCACTTGCTGGGTGGTGCTGAAGGATGCATTGTGAGAGTGTACATCAGACATAGCACCTCCAAACCCAGGCCAAAGGACAGTTGCTCTTTCAGAGTTGTGCAGAGCAGCTTTGACTTCTCTTGAGTTAAGCATATCCAAGAATGTTAGGAAGCAGATCACATGGCAGAGCATGAACAATAAGAAATATGTTCAAGCCCCGGAAAGCCCAGCTGTACACAGAGGTGTATGTACATACCATAAAAACAATCTGTCAAGCATAGCTTGGTCTATCACCAAAATCTTGAGTACTTAAAATACAGAAAAACAAACCATGTCTTGTTTTTCTCTTACCATTTTAACCTATTCAGATATGTGGCAATTTGTCTACTAGTAGAGAAAGCTCATATTGTCATGAACCCACTGCCAGAAGATGTTAGAATCCCTCTGATCACACACACACACACACACACACACACACACACACACACACACCCCGCCTTTCTGTAGTTGGTGCATCTGCTTTCCAAGGATGCTCTTTTATTGAGTAAGTCCTTTTCACTGAGGCTTTAGTAGCTGGTTCCCTAACTACATCAACGTGAGCACCGAGTTTGTCAGTGACCGAGTACAATGAGAGTGTAGATGACCTCAAAGTTGAGCTATGGTACCACTTTGGCCATTTGTTCAAGGTTGTGTGACTTTCAAATGAGAGACACAGGTGGTCCAAGGAGCTTGTAGCAGACACCTAGCTCCTCTTTCCGACCATCCCAAGTTACCACCGCTATCATTCCCCTTAGGGAATGTTGGAAGAGCCTCTCTTCCTACCTCATGTCCTAGAAACAAGCTTTGTAGATTGTCACCATGCATAGATTTCATAGGAATTTCTGAGTCGAGTATTGTGGCACATGCATATGATGAGGCAAGCGTATCAAAAGTTCCGGTCCAGCCTGGGCTACATAGTAAAAAACAAAAACAAGTAAAGGAAAAATCCTGAGTGGAAATGGTCCAACTGTAAGTTAATTATTGTCCTAAAACAACAACAACAAACCCTCTGTTCTCTCAAAAGTCTTGTGATTATATTACCTTGGATATGTGTAACCCTGGATAAAAGGAGCCACTGTTGCAGATAGCCCTGGTCATACCCCTGCTTAGCTTCAACCCATAACATTTGGAATGGAGCTGAGCACGTGAAACACTTGTGTATATGGCAAAGCTACGGGGACAGAGATCTCCCCCAAGCCTCTCTCTCGAGTGTTTTCCTAACATCGCGACTTTGGATGCTATTTCCCTGTTTCTCTCTTCCTGTTTCCAGAGTTTTCTTTTTTATCATCCATTACTCACAACGGTAATACAGTGCTCCACTTGTCTCTTTTCTGTTTATTGGCCTCAACTTCGTAATATAAAAATATCACTGCTGTTAGAGGAAAAGCAGGTGCCACGTGAAGCTTGAACAGCAATTTACCTCTCATTTGAGAAAAATGTCACACGGGTACTCTCAGAGGAGGAAATTAATGACACCAAAGCCTGCCAATTACAAGCAAGTGCCTTAGACTAGGACAGGGTTCCCACAAATAAGCCGATGCCCACACTCTGCCTTCCTCTCCCAGCCCCATGCAGTCTGTTATGAAACTGCGCAGTCCTTACCTGTCATGTTCAGTGCGCTGATAACAAATAGTGATAGCAGACTTAAAGGGATGTTTTACTGTTTGTCATACTGTGTCCTTTTTTCAGTTCTCACAACCCAAGTGGTGAGTTCTGTTTGTCACTTGTTTTCCTGATTAGGAAATTTTGCCTTGAAGTCCTAGGAAATGACTTAGGAGGCCGATCCAGCACCTACTCCCCTGCCCCTGAATCCAGCACCGTGGTACTGAGAAGCACTATGAGGAGTTCAAACAGTGTGCACAGTAGGAGCTTGGCAGTTTCTTGCTGACAGTGATGATGATTGCAGTCTTAGACATGTGAAGGTAACACTCTAAGCTTGGACAAACAGACAGTTGAGTTTAGCTCTTTTCCTCGTGAAAGCTAACTGGTATGTGGAAACCCTTTCCCCATGAGCCTCCAGCCAGGCCAAAGGTGAGTCAGCTGTGGCTGCAGAGTAGAGGCAGGCAGATGAGACTCTTTCATAATAAGCCTTTCCCATTCTCTGCCTCCTCATACACCAAGGCCAGGAACCCAACAGAAATCCAGAGAGGACTGTGCCAGGTACTTGATTGGGGTGAATAGATTTCAATAGGTAGAGCTGTTTTTGGTTTTTTTTAGGTCAGTTAAATGTTAGGTATGAACTCTTCACTCCTTAAAGTCACCAGACACACACTAGAAAATGTGTATAATCTTATAACTGATAGCAATGTCTCAGGTAAGAGACTGTCTTATGACATTTTCCTGGACTCTGTACTCAGGCGCTGGACACTACACAAGTGAGTTCCCACATCATGCAGGGCTCCACAAACCAAGTTACTCTGTGATATTTTTTTTTTTTAAGGAAAAAATTACTTTTCTATTTTATTGTGGTCGGAGGTTTGGTGGAGTGAAGAGCAAACGATTAGTAATAGAAGAATAATACCATTCACTTTTGGTGGAGAGAAGAGCAAACGATTAGTAATAGAAGAATAATACCATTCAGTGTAGCACTCTGGAATATAGTCAGAGGATTGAATAAAATTAAGTCCTTCGCAGTTAAAAATATAGGTGTATTTTTTTTATTTCTGGTGAGTTCTTTGGAATATTTTCACAACTAGCACCACAGTGTTCTCTTGTCCAAGGTAGATTGCATAGCTTGGCATTGTCCTGACAGCCAGGTGACAGCCAGATGAGCAAACAGGTCCAGCCGGTGTGCAGCAAGCTGTCCTCCACAGGTGAGTAGTCTGTTCCTTCCGAGTTCCCACATCGGTGTCTGTCACTCCATTCTTCCCCTGTTCACTTTCTTCCTCCTCCTCCAGCTTTCTCAACGATGAGTCACACGAGGCAGGAGCCACGACAGCCATCATCTCTTTCTTCTCTACACTAAATCTATTGGTAACTGTGGATCCCATTCCCTGAGTCCTGAACTGCAGGCCTGGCAGTGCCGTCGGGAGTAGGTGCCGCTGTCTTTCCTGCAGCTTTGCTTTGGCTGCCCAGCATATTCCTTCCATTCTTTGTCATCGTCTCTGGGCTTGCTATTTCTCTTCCTATCTAATTAAATGATTCCACTTTGAATAATTACATTTAAGTGCTAACAGAAGAGGGGCATTGAAAATATAGAGTTCAACAACCTTTCCCAAGTAGATTTGTAGTCAGAATGAAACAGGATGAAACACAGAGAAGAACACTCCCAGATGCAGTTCTTAGGGTAAGCCATGGACCACGTCCTGTGACTAAGAGACAAGCCCTTAAATGCTGTCTAGGAGACAGACTGGGGACTTTCTTGTGTATTAATACAGAAGGGGAGAACTGGCTCAGATAAGAAGGTTCATTTTAATGTGCTTTTGTTGTTGTTATTGTTTTGTTTTGTTTTTCGAGACAGGATTTCTCTGTGTAGCTTTGGCCATACTGGAACTCACTGTAGACCAGGCTGGCCTCAAACTCACAGAGATCCTCCTGCTTCTGCCTCCCTGAGTTCTAGGATTAAAGATGTGGGCCACCACCCCCAGCTTTGATGTTCTTTAAAAAAAAAAAAAAAAAAATCCCGGACTGCTTGTAGCTACTGAGTTAATTGAGGTGAGTAAAGGGTTGTGTGAGCAGCCTGTTACAGTCACCTCCATTTATGGTAAACCGACTTCTAGAAGCACAGAGTGACTGTCACCCTTTTAGGAATGGGCATCTTCCTGGGGTAGTCCTCAGCCCGCAGTGAGGAGCAAAGGACAACACAGGACCTGCAGCCCCCTGGACCCCAGTCCCCTCCCTGCTGGCCGCCAGGGGCCCCTGCTCATTCTCCTGTTTTAGGCAAAGCTTGAGACTGGGCTCAAGGGAGAAGGGAGATAATATTTGGAGGGATCTGAGAAACCAGAACCATGTCAAACATGGATTTTCCTGCCGTTGAAGAGCCCAGAACTGAAATGAAAATGGACAAAAACCAATTTCTGCTTCACCTCAAAAGCAAGGAGGGGCCAGCAAGCCGGGCTAGGCCCAGGCGCTTGCCCAGGCAGTGCCTGTGTGCCCTTGGCTTTAGTAGTTTATGAGTGTTGGCATCAGTCCTGGAGAAGTTCGGAGTCCTCCTATCTGAGTTTTTAAATCAAGCTTCTGAGCAGTAGTCCGTCTCCATGAACGGAGACTTCAAAGCTGCCGGTGGCCTGTGTCTGTAAAGTTTCTAAATAAACTTCTGACACGCAAAGCCCTGAGCGTGCTCACCAGTCTTTACACTG